CATATTCCTTTCCTTTCTTATACTACGAAATTATTTCAGACATGTACCTATGTTTTGCACTTCATAATGAAAACCTAAAAACGTTAATTAGACTAGTGATAGACACTAATTACATAAAACAGAAATGAACTGTTTATTTCTATAAACAGTTCATTTCTGTTTTGTGCAATTGAAAATCTTAGAATGTTCAAAAGCTGCACTTTAGATGCTTAGAATCTAAATCTCTTCATTGCAGTATGAAGAAGACTTATAAATAGAGTATGAATAAACTTAGGATTATGAAAAATAAAGGCTTGAACATTACATCCAGCTAACCTAATATTTCATCTCTTTTCATGTAAACATATAGAATGTAACTATAATTTAGTTTTCCTGGTGACTGACTTTTAGATAACTAGAGACTTTAGAAACTCGTTCTATTAATAATATAAATGATGGTATTATAACAAAAATCTATTATTATATTATATTATTATTGCTACTATTTCTTTCATTAACACGAGTACATTGCGTCCTGTCTCAGTATTGGTCAATTCTTTGCTTTTTTATGATTAATCATTGAATCATCAATTTGAAATTATTTGCAACTATTATTGTTTTTATTTTCATTCATTCTGATTATCATTATTATTATTACTACTAATTCTAATTGCTTTAGAATTATGCTGTTTTGAGTCCGATAGGCCAATACCTGTCCATGTTACACGTTACTTTCCTCGTTTAAATTTTTGTCTTATTATATGGTAGGAATTTATTTTTATAAGGAATTTATTATATGACCTAAACACTTAGACGTTTCACAATATTGTCATTTTCTATAACTTCCTCTCACCGCATTCTCTGTTTTCAAATTTTTACATACCCTAGTAGTGTTTCCTAGAGTCAAATTAATATTTTGTGGATCTTAACGCTGCCCCATAGAAGGGACTCTCTGAATGGACAACTGAAAAAACAACTGTGCATCGGTATGGAAAAAGCTAAAGTCCTAATATACTTACAACAATCTGTCAACAGAATGTATTAGAATAGTTATAATAATAATACAGTGGAACAAACACAAAAGTATTCGTCCACTTGAAATATAGAAACAAAAAAGAACAATCGTTTCTATATTATTAAGTATATTTAATCATACATAGGTGCATATTAATGTTGGAATCCGGGTTGAGGAATAAAACCACTTTACAATAAGCAAAAGTTTATTGGTTTTAAAACCTCTATGATTACGCCGAACTCAACTTTAACAGAAAATCGTGTGAAGAATAGAAACAACGACCTCCTTGCTAACTTACAGCAAAACTGATTCTCTGTCTAAACTCTTTCTACAATTTCTGGACTCTTTCTCCCGAACCCGTGGTCAGTGACAATGTATATATATCCTCTCTCTAGTGGGGGAGGACAACCTTAGCCCTTATGACTAATAGTGGATGTACGCTGTTTTTGTTGTTGTGCATCGAGAGAGTCATGGTTTGGCTATGACTTATTATTTGTTTAAGATAGGTCATCCAACATTAAACGTTATACTTATAGCGACAAATGACCCAAAACCGAAGACAATAACATTCACGAGGCCGTATAAAAAAGAAGGAATATTACGGAGTATGTAAAAGAAGAAGTGGTAGACCCTAAAAATTAACTACGAGAGAAAAGCGAAAAATCGTCCGAACTATTAAAGAAAAACCAGATACCAATGTACCTGAAATTGCATCACACTTTAAAGAACATATGCTGAAAGAAATTCACTCTAAAATAGTACGAAGAGTGCTACATCGGGCCAGATATAACAGTAGAGTTGCGAGGAAGAAACCATTTATGAATAAACGAAAAAAAGAGATTAGAATTTGCAGAACAATACATAAATACTAGCCACGACTTCTAGAAAAACGCAGTACATATTTACAGAAAAGTCAAAATTTAGTATTTTTGAGTCGGACGGTAGTGAAAAAGTATGGCGGAAAGCGAATACTGAATTGGATTTCAAAAATGTGGAACCGACGACGAAACACGGAGATGGAAATGTGATGATGTGGAGATGTATCGTTGCTTCTGGAGGCAGCAATTTAGTAATAATAAATAAAATAATGAATAAACATTTGTATTTAAATATTTTAAAAGAAAATTTGCAAAATAGTGCAGATGAATTAGATTGATGAATTAGATGAATTTTATTTTCAGCAAAACTGTAACGTTCTTACGTGCAGAATGCGCGCGTATAAAGCCTCAAAGATTTGTTTGCCCTAACAAAATTAATTGTTAACCGGACTTAATGTTTTTGTGGATCCGGAGACACGCTAGTCCCATACGGGCCCTTTCACAAGATCGCAATGTTTAGAGGAAATGACGGAGGCAATTAAAGAAATGTAATTCAAAATAATTAAAATATTCAAAGATTATATTTTATAAATTATGAAGCGATTAGAATGGTAGGGAATATAATATAATGTGAATCACAATGAACTGAATAAAAATATTGTGAATATCCGAGACGCGCAATTCGAAGATTTGAAGGAGAAACAATTACTTAAATACAAAATAAAATTATAATCCAGCGAGGGAAATCTCAAAGTTAAATAATTAACTACTGATTTACTTGCCGAAGAATTCATAAAATAGCTGGAAGAATAAAGGAAACAAGTCACCCAAAATATCTGTACTTGTATGAATTTATAATAAATCAACCTCTTGTAGAATGTGAAATGACGGCTGCGCCTGGTTCCTGGGAAGAACACACATACATGTAAACGATCCACCAATGAGAATTTTGAAATTGACCTGCTGCTGAATTCAAATAAACTATAAAATAAAATTATACTTTAAAAATTAAAAAGAATAAAACTGAATATAATTGAATGGAAAAATAAAATAATATATTGAATTAAAAATTAACGTGATTATTAACGTGATTATTTAGCGCGAAAGCTTTACGTGAAAATAGAGTCTTTGTCTGAATTTTGCACTTTAATAAATTCAAGAACAAACTCGTCTCTAAACCACTTCACGGACCCTCGACACGCACCTCGCGATTATACACCGAAGAGTGTCGCAACTTGCACCTCTCTGAGAAGACCAGAGTGGGCCTAGTCCGAAATTGTTTATGTTGCATTGAGATGCGCCTAACGAATTAGGCTGCGAGGCCAATGCGTAAGAGACCGCGATTCGTTAATTAGGTGGTGATGGTGGGTGCATGTGTTCCTCCCTTGTCCAGCTCTTATCTCTCTCTTTCTATATAGTTCTTTCCTTTGCTCTTGAGCTATGGATTGTTAATTAGCTATTGAATAATTTTACATACAGTCAGTGTAAAAAGTATTCGTACAGTAATTAATTTCAACAAAAATGTTGTGAAACGTCATTTATTAACAAAATTTGAACAAATAAAAAATACATACACATTCTTACATAGAATACATAGACATCTAAGAATATGTATGTATTTTTTATTTGTTCAAATTTTGTTAATAAATGACGTTTCACAACATTTTTGTTGAAATTAATTACTGTACGAATACTTTTTACACTGACTGTATGTAAAATTATTCAATAGCTAATTAACAATCCATAGCTCAAGAGCAAAGGAAAGAACTATATAGAAAGAGAGAGATAAGAGCTGGACAAGGGAGGAACACATGCACCCACCATCACCAACCAATACAGTATAAAATGTTAATCTGTACACATTATAAAAATTTAAAATGAAACATTATTTATTTCGCTTTACAGTTATTAAAGTCAAATTGCGCTCGGTACTGTAACTATTGTACGACTGATTGACGTGTGCGTATTTATAATAAGGGTATAATGAAATACTATGGGCAATTTATATAATATTGTAATGTTACAAAGACAATTTCTATTACAATTTTATATTGCGTCGCGGGCCCTTGAGGAACATTCCAGAACGCTTGGCGTTATCGGACCACACGAGTGTGACTTCCGTTTATATTTGGCGGTTCGAAGAAGTAGAATGATCTAAGATTTTGGCCGTGGGACCACGTTGATTTCAAGGATGGAATGTGTTATATTAACAATCTTAGTTTAGTCGCCAGAAGATAATCTATCTAATAACATAAAAGACCGTTACTGCGTTCGACCAGGGTGTTCCCAGAATGCAATACGCATTATCGATACACATTCGGTCGGTGAAAACTACAAAGGAAATTTTGAAAAATATTCCTGTTCGGAACGTAACAACGTGAAACATATACCCTATATGTATAGTGCGTCAGTAGTTGTTAATACCAATACTCTCCACAGGTTAGCAACTCTTCCACAATTGTTTGATTTAAATTCTATCGAACATGTATGGGCGAAATTAGAAAAAATGTGCGAAAACATGATTTAATGTCGAAAGAACATTTGAAAGAAATGTTAAAAAGAGAATGGTGTAGTACAGAACCTAAAAAAGTTAAAAGTTTGGTGTTGTAAATGACCGATATATTACGTTAAGTGATTTGCCGGAAGGGTTATCATACAAAATATTAATTTATAAAATTCCTGTTAAAATAATCGTAGCAATAATTAAGCGTACGAATACTTTTGTCTCGACGGTTCCTTATAACCTCGTGAATTTCAAATCATTTCAAGTTACTACATGATATTATTGCCTCCGACTTTGGGTTATTTGCTGCTGTAAGTGTAATGTTTAATATACAGCTATATATGATTAAACATACTTAATAATATAAAAAATATTGTTCTTTTTATTTCTATATTTCAAGTGTACGAATACTTTTGTCCTCCACTGTATATAAAACCTGTGTACAAAATTGTTTACTGTCAATTCAATCGAAAATTGTTATTAAAATTATCGGTTCCTTTTACGTAGTGGACCTGTAAGTATTATTTTTGTTGTTCAACACGAAATATTATTTATTTTGTTCAATTCCACAGTTCTTTAATGTGTCTATTAAATGTTTTTTTAAAACACATACATAATTAGATAATTTTATGGGATTAGTTTTGTATAACTTAATATTATAAACTTTACCGAGAAGAAGTAAAGTTTATATGACCATTTTCGTATTTCCTTCCACTCTTCGCCTTAATAAGCAGCTACGTAACAAATCATACTGTACTGAAAACATAAATAGAAACTTTGTAAATATAGATTATAAAAACGTTTCTCATATAAAATTTAAGTTTATACATATTTCTTTTATCGATATGAACGAAATGAAAAGCATAAGTAAATCGCTATTAATATTAGAATCAGGATGTAATACATTTTTGTGTAATTAATTCTTCGTAAATAATTGCAGAATATGCTTGACATAGAAATTTTACACAATCACGAAAGCAACAAGGAATTCAAATTCGGTACCATTGATTTGGTGCAGTTGGGCATATGATAATAGCTCACAGACGTTACTATCTGATGCAAACCAGGTCTAACTTCCATAGCTCATTAGTGTACATTGTTAGCTGCGTTATACGGTCGTGCTAACTTCATAACGAGTACAAATTGAGTTTTGAAGTTCTTTGTCTCTGATATTCACTTCATTTGTTTTGTTTAGCAATGCAATGAAATAAAAACAACTTAACCTAGACCTGTATTAATTAGCAATACACAACGCATTTTCAAAAATATAATATATTTAGTACATGCATAATTTTTTTAAAATACATGTTAAAATTTATTTTTGAGTATTTTTCACAATTGATATATTCATATGAAATGATTATTATTTTATAATATTATTTTATTTTTATTCTTATTCAATAAATACTATAAATTTTTATACTTTAATATTTTACTACCTATTTCTCGAAAAACCATTAGAAGGATGTCATATACAAGATAAATAGACATGATATTATAAAAAGCAAATACATATTTGTGCAAATGACTTTAACATAAAAAAGGTACTCGTTTTTGATGCAGTTTGGTTTGTTTCGAAGACGAATAACTTAATATATTGTCTGTACTGGAAACTTATGAACACATTCATCTCATGTGTCAGACACATTCATTCTCAAATGGAGCAAATAAAATCGAATAAAAATATCAAAAAGTAAAAAGTTTATATTTTAATGCGCTTCCATATGAAACAACATTTTGTAAAAAGTTACAAAATATTGATTTTTAAAAATTGTTCACTCCTACATAAGTTCTACAGTATTATACATACGTATATCTTCCTTTGTCACCATAAAGCAATACAATTTCAATTATCAGTCATATTTTTTTACTTAGATCCAACTCCTATTTTAGAAGAGGAATTTAATTTATTTTTTATAATTTTCAATTAAATTATTTTTTTGTCTTTCTGTAGAATACCTTCACGAACATTTTGTTGATAAAAATTGTGTGCTTTTCTGATTCTTTCTCTCTATGTTTTATAAAACTACCATCATTTAGGAATTCATAAAAGGAAGATACCACTTCTATGGAGTATAACTTCGAGAAAGTAGTACCATTTCTGTTTAATGCGTGTCTCAAAACTTTTACATATTTCCGACGATATAGATCGACGAAGTGCTTATTAGTACCTATATCACCGACGGAATTCGTGTAGCAGTATGTAAGAGGAGAAGGTATTAACGCAACCTCAACTTCGGCTATTTATTAGCGTGGCGTAGTAATGCCAGTTGATGAGCTTTGGGAGGAAATGCTCCGCTTCCCTTCAACTTCTTGAACTAGGAGTTACGCTATGGCTGGTTTATTAACCTTATCCTTCAACGACGCTCTATCATCAGTCAAAAGATTAATCTTCCGTATTATTCGTTATCTCTTGTGTTTCATTTTTCGCTTCCCTTTGATGAAAGTAAAATCGGGATGCATCGGTTCATATATGGCTTAAGTTGGTTACTTATGATTTATTATTTATGATTATACAATAATTACTAGTCCTTCTTCGAATTTTGAACCCATTCAAAGCTAGTGAAATAACGTTACTGGCAAGGGAACATATCCAACTCCGACACGCCGATTTTGATGAAACTTATGTGAGATATAGTTCTCAAAAAAATATTTGACACGTATTTTTTTTTATCGGCAATCGTGCATATTGAAGGGGTGAAAATAGTCCTCGAAGTTGGAGGTGGAAATCATATTTTTGGGAATATCTCCGGAATTAAAGAAGATAATTGGATTCTTTTTTTTTTTAAATTGTTGGTCTTTTAATAGGAGTTTTTGTGCGAAAAAAAATTTCAATAAACTTTATTTGTTTAAATAATATTTTAAAAATTTATAATTTTTGTTTAAATTTTTGCACTAAATGTTGATTTATTTTTTTGCAACTCCATGTACGTAAACTATAGACAAAAATAGGGGATACGTGTTTTTGGAATTTGTTGTCTGTTGCAATGTTTATTAGATATATAATTTAAAATCACCTCCAGTGAAGAGGGGCAATCAGTATTTTTATTAAAAATATCATTATCTTTACAATCTCTTACATTATTTTAGCGATTTTATACCTCTTCATATGCAATTAATTGATTTCTCAATAATTATTGTAAGCGTTGCAGGTATGAGCGTGACGCGGTTATGATCAACGCCGCGTCGTAAGGAACATAGGCTTTTATGGCCAATATTGTTAAAAAATAATTTAATTTATTTTTATTTTCTGAGTTTTCTGAGTGCATATGAAGACGTATAAAATTGCTAAAATAATGTAAAAGATTGTAAAAATAATGATATTTTTAATAAAAATGCTGATTGCCCCTCTTCACAGGAGGTGATTTTAAATTATATATCTAATAAACATGGCAACAGACAACAAATTCCAAAAACACGTATCCCCTATTTTTGTCTATAGTTTACATACATGGAGTTGCAAAAAAATAAATCAACATTTAGTGCAAAAATTTAAATAAG